CACATCAAGTGGTTGCCACCCACACGACCCCAACTGGGGCTGGGGGCAAACTGCAACCAAGGTACATGCCCTTAGCGGGGACCGAACCCTGGACTCTCTGGTCTGCGGGGCCAATGCTCTAACCGCTGAGCCAAACTAGCCAGGACTAGTTTTTTCATTTTTTTTTTTTAATATTTTTTCTTTATTGATTTTAGAAAGAGAGGAAAGGAGAGAGATCTAGAAACATCGATGAGAAAGAACACTTACTGGCCGCCTCATGCATGCCCCCCACCGGGGATCAGGCCCACAACCTGGGCATGTGCCCTGATCAGGAATCGAACCGGTGACCTCTTGGTGAATGGATTGACACTCAACCAGTGAGCTTAAGCTACACCAGCCAGGCTATTTAGTTTTTATTTGATCAAAGGACATGTACATAGCTTAAAGAATAAGCAACCATCCAAAACATGTTTTTAAAACAAAAAAACCCTGGCTAGTTTTGCTCAATGGTTAGAATGTCGACCCGCAGACCAGAGAGACCCAGGTTTGGTTCCTGCTAAGGGCAGGTACCTCAGTTGCAGTTTGTCCCCGGCCCCAGTTGGGGTCGTGTGGGTGGCAGGCAGCCAGTGGATGTGTCTCTCATGTCGATGTTTCACTCTCTCTCTCTTCCTCCCTCCCTCCCTCCCTCCCTCCCGATATATCTGAAGATAAATGCAAAAATATCCTTGGGTAAGGATAAAAAAACAAAGAAAGGCTGTTCCCTCACCTCTGCCATTTCCCCCTCCCCATAAAGCAAACCACTTGCAATTCTTTTTTCTACTTCTCTTGACATTTACTTCCATAATTCTAAGTACTATACCTGCATTTTTACTTGCTGATTTTTTCCCATAGTTCTAGATATTACATATTCCCTCCTTACTACAGGAGGGTTTATTTCATTCCTACTCCTAACCCAACACATACATTTGTGGTCCTTTAGTCTCCCAATGTATGTAAGTTTGGCTATATTGTTACTTAATGTTTATATTAGGACTAGGTAAAATGCTATTCATAGCTGATTTGTATATTATGAATACTTTTTCTTTACTGCACAGCATTACCCTCCACTTCACTCTGAGCTTTCGTTTTTCTTAGTTTTCTATATATTTGTCACTAAATCAAACCCAGACTCTCTACAGATTGTCTACACAGTCACTTAAGATGTTCCCAGCTATAATTAATATCAGTGAAATATCCTTAAGGAAACCTCTCCTGAAATTTATTGGGCTGGCTACCTCCATGCCTATGCTGCTGTCATGGGAGCTCGCCCTTCACCACTGCCTGGGGGTTCTATTGTTCCTCTTACACACTGGATCTCCTGTTTTCTTCTTCCTTAGTTTACCCCCCCCACACACCCCTTTTTTTGGCCAAGAGCACAGACTGAGAAAGGATGAGGGGAGATGGGCACATTTTTCAAACTACCATAGTGGGCTGATGCTATTAATGGGAGTGAGTTAAACAATGGAGTGGAATTGGAGTTGACTGTAAATCCCTGGGTGTTAAACAATGAGTCAAAACACAAGTGGTTTCATTTGTCCCCTATCTACAACACTAATTAAAAGATGACCTCTATAATGAGCACTCTTGTTATGTGTGTGTGAATGAACGGATTACTGAATAAACTCTAATGCATAAAATTCACTATACGTTCTAAGAGTTATCTTGAGTCCCTGCCTGAGCGAGTCATAGGTGTTTCAGGAAATAAAGAGATTATTAAATATGCTTAGGAGAGTGTTCATCTCAGCAAGACTGGGCTTACCAGAGAATCCACATAAATACCTAACAATTCAGGAATGCAGAACAGAAATCCTTTGAAAAATTTTTTTCTATTTTTCTACTGTTCAAGTCCCATTCTACTTATCTTAACCATCCTACAGCCTGAAATGGCATTATCTCACTTTATCCTTACAACAACACTTAAGACAGAGGTATTATTCCCAATTTTACAGATGAGGAAACAGGTTTAGTGAAGTAAATACACATATATAATACATCTGCTACTCCATGTCCCTTTGAGCTATGATTTTCAAGGTATTCTTTGTCATCCACCATATTGAGCTTGTCCCTACCATTTACTAAGGCCAAGTCTCTCTATATATTTATCTTTATTGTTGAATGTATTACAGATGTTCCTCATTTTTCCCCCATTGATCCTCTCCTCCCCACTCCTGCCCCCTCCTGCCTTTTCCTACACTGTTGTCTGTGTCCATTGGTTATGTAAATAAGTTCTTTGGTTTATTTCTTCACACCCCCAACCCCCTTCTTTTTGAGGTTTGTCAGTCTAGCAACCAATTTGTTCTTAATCCCTTCACCTTTTTCACCCATTCCCCCAACCCCCCTCCTATCTGGCAACCAACAAAATGTTCTTTGTATCTATGTTTCTGTTCTGCCTGTTCAGTTTGTTTGTAGATTACTTTGTCGTATTCATTGCCATTTTGTTTGTTCATATATTTCATCTTTTCTTTAAAAAGACCCTTCAACATTTCATATAATGGTTTGATGGTGATTAACTCCTTTACCTTTTTCTTGTCTGGGAAACTCTTTATATGACCATCGATTCTAAATGACAGCTTTGCAGGATAGAGTAATCTTGGTTGTAGGTTCTTGCTTTTCATCACTCTGAATATTTCTTGTCACTCCCTTCTGGCCTACAAAGTTTCTTTTGAGAAATCAGCTGACAGCCTTATGGGAACTCCCTTGTAGGTAACTAACTGCTTTTCTCTTGCTGCTTTTAAGATTCTCTCTGTCTTGAACTTTTGCATTTTGATGATGATGTGTCTTGGTGTGGGGTTTGGGGTTCATCTTGTTTGGGACTCTCTGTGCTTCCTGGACTTGTATGTCTGTTTCCTTCACCAAGTTAGGAAAGTTTTCTACCATTATTATTTCAAATAGGTTTTCGATTTCTTGTTCTCTCTCTTCTCCTTCTGGCACCCCCAAGATGTGAATGTTGGCATGCTTGAAGTTGTCCCAGAGGCTCCTTACACTATCCTCATTATTTTGGATTCTTTTTTCTTTTTGCTGTTCTGATTGGGTATTTTTTGCTTCCTTATATTCCAAATTGATGGTTTGCTTCTTGGCTTTACCTACTCTACTATTGAATCTGTGTAAATTATTCTTTATTTCAGTTGGTGCCTCCTTCATTTCTGACTGTGCATCCTTCATTTCTGACTGGTCCTTTTTTAAGCTCTTGAGGCCCTCACTAAGTTTGTTGAGGTTTTCACTAAGTTCATTGAGGTTCTCACTAAGTTCACTGAGCATCCTTATAAGCAGTATTTTGAACTCAGCCTCTGTTAGGTTGCTTATCTCCATTTCACTTAGTTCTTTTCCGGGAGATTGTTTTCTGTTCTTTCATTTGGGACCTGTCTCTTTGTCTCCTCAGTATGGCTGCCTCCCTATGTTTCTTTCTCTGTATTACTTAACGAGAGGTATGGGGCTAGCTGAGACCAGATGCTGCTTGTTTGAAAGAATTTAGGAAAACTGAAGCAGGATCCAAGACAGGCCAATCCTATGGTTAAGCAACTAGCAACAACTTGGGTGGGCCTGAAAGTTGGGTGGGGTGGGGTCTCAGTGAATCACCAGGGCGGAGCTACCAGTGTGAGCCAGGTTGCTGGACTCCCACATATGGTGACTGTCTGCCGCCCCAGGGCAGGGCTCACCAAAGGAACAAAGGCCTCTGATAGCACCTTTGTCCCGGAGAAATCCCCCTCTCCAGCCCTCACTCCATGTCAAACAGCTCAGTTCTTCCCTGTATGTCTTTGGTGCCCCTCAAGCTGCCTCCCCTCCAAGCTTAGAGGGAACAGGTCTGAGTAAGTCCATGCACGGGCCCTTTAAGGAGCCACCTGGGGCTCCATCAGCCTCAGCCTCCCTGAGCCTCAGTTCCCACTGGTTTTTCCACCCAGAAGTTATGGGGGCTTCTCTTCCTGGCACTGAAACCCTGAGCGGGGCGCCTGGTGTGGGATGGGGACCTCTCAGTCCTCAGAGATGACCGTCCCAGCCGACGTATCCTCTTGATTTTTATGTGCCACACGTGGATGTGGGACTAGCCGGTCCACCTCTGCCCCTCCTACCAGTCTCAATGTGGCTGCTTCTTTAATTCCATAGTTGTAGGACTTCCATTCAGTTTGATTTCAGGCGGTTTTGAATGAGGGTTGTTCTGTAGTTTAGTTGTCACTTTGATGTGGTTGTGGGAGGATGCAATACCGCGTTTACCTACACCACCATCTTGACTGGAAATCTCTCCAAGTCTATATTTCTTAAGATGTCTGGGTACCTGCCTGGCAGTGTTTGGCAATGTTACATCTTTTCTCCTGTGTTCACTCATTCAGGCAAGATCAATAAAGATCTAACCAAAAAAGTAGTAGTAAAGCACATTGATTGAGATTACATGTTTTGTCGCTGACAAATTTCACTTGGGTTGCTTATTAACCATCCTTGGCACAAATCATTTAATCTCCCAAAGTCTGAGTTTCCCCAGTAAACTGGGTACACTATTATTGTTTAAATATGATCAGGTGGCCCTGATCGGTTTGGCTCAGGGGTTAGAGCATTGTCTCGTGAACCAGAGAGGCCCGGGTTTGGTTCCTGCTAAGGGCACATACCTCATTTGCAGTTTGTCCCCGGCCCCAGTTGGGGTCGTGTGGGTGGCAACCACTCGAGGTGTCTCTCACATCGATGTCTCTCTCTCTCTCTTCCTCCCTCTCTCCCTGTCCCTCTATCTCAAGATAAATGCAAAAAACAATTAAAAATAAAAATATATGATCATGTGTATAATGCCTGGAACATAATAAACACTAAATAAATGGTATTGTTATTACTTCGTAAGCATCTAAGATTAATTATATAGAATAAAATTGCCATAATAAGTGAGTTGGGATTTATCTTAAACTTGCTTCCCTAATATCACACATTACAAAAGTTATTCTTTGATTGTTATTTCTACTTAATGCTTCCTGACACCGAAACAATGTTATTCTTTTCTCCAGTCTCCTCCAGGAAATGTGCAATGAAGGTCCTTGGCAAGCACAGGATGATCTGGACATGGCCAGCTACATCACCCGTCCAGCCCAGGGCTGAGAATAAGCAGGGCTTTTCTGGATTCTGAAAAGGGGGTGAAAAAGGTGCACTCTAGGTGCTGTCCCACACTACTTATCCTTCCACCTCTGGGAATTGGTCTGAAAAAGTATCTGCTGGCCAGCTTTGTCCAGCTTTAATATAGGCATAGTTAAGTATTAAAGTGACATTTCTCATTTAACATTTCATTATGAATACACTTCAGAAATCCGACAGTTGATTAGTAAAAAATAATGGAGGTGGAAAAGCATGCTTGGAGTTTTTTCCTGAGAATTGCCTGTGACCTACAACTTACTCCTGAACAGAGGCCTCTATCCTAGGTGCCAGGAAATGTTCGAAGCACTACAAATCGTCACAGCAACCCTTGTTATTTTCCTTATTGTACAGATAAGAATCATGAGGTATAGAGAAGTAAAGAAACTTGTTCAAAGCCACACAGCCAGTAAACGGCAGAGCCAGACCTGGACTTTACCACTATCAAGATATTAATGAGAAATTCATCTAGGTACAATTCAAAAAGGAAGAAAAAAATAACAGTATGAATCAAGAAGCTCTAGTATACACACATGAGTAGTTACAGATGACTAGATCAGAGGGAAGATACAGCAATAGCTGAGATTATTGCTAGAACTGTCCTAGAATTGAAGATTACGCACGCTCAGATCAAAAGTATGCTATGCGCATTGAGCATGTAGCTGAAGATAAATCTAGGCTGCACACCAAGAGAGAAAAACACAAATACTAAAAAGTTTATTAGCTGAAACTGGATCAATTAGCAAAACTGAAAATGAAAAAGATGGTAAACAGAAAACAAGATTTATTAGGTTGAATTTTATTAAACTGTCATTTTGATAGGTCAAAAATGGTATCAATTTCATATGGTTCAACTTAAAAAAACTATAAATATATCAATAGTCATAATTATAGATACATCAAACTCAACCCATTTAAAGAAAGATTAGATTGAATTAAAAATATAAAATCCAGCCATTTAGTAGAAATACACCTAAAACAAAATCATATAGAGATGGTTGAAAGTAAAGAAATAGGAAAAAGAAAACAAACAGACATACCAGAAAAATGTTCAACAGACTAAAAGTAGTATAGCACTATTGCCCTGGCCGGTTTTGTTCAGTGGTTAGAGCAGTGGTTCTCAACCTGTGGGTCAAATGACCCTTTCACAGGGGTTGCCTAAGACATAACAATAGCAAAATTACAGTTATAAAGTAACTATGAAAATAATTTGATGGGTGGGGGTCACCACAACATGAGGAACTGTATTAAAGGGTCGCGGCATTAGGAAGGTTGAGAACCACTGTGTTAGAGCGTTGGCCCGGAGACCAATGAGTCGTGGGTTCGATTCTGGTCAAGGGCATGTAGCTCAGTTGCAGTTTGTCCCCGGCCCTGGTTGGTTGTGCAGGAGGCATCCAGGTGATGTGGCTCTATCACATTGGTGTTTCTTTCTCTCTCTCTCCCTCTCCTTTCCCCTCTCCCTCCTCCCTTCCACCCTCCCTCCCTCCCACTCTATCTGATGATAAATAGAAAAATAGCCTCTATCAAAACCGGGATAAGGTGAGGGTTGATAAAGATACAGCAAACACAGTGTTTAAAAAAAAATACCAGAATTGTCTTAAATGCATCCAATGATGCAGCCTTGAAAAATAAACTATCAGAATGAGTTAGAGAAATTGTCAACCACAATCACAGCATTTTTTAAAATGCAACTTCATCATAATCTAATAGAGCATACACACTAAAACAGAAAATAAAATAAAATAAAACCAGAAGTAACCGGCTACACAAGCCTGCACTTTCCCTGTTCCTGTTTCAAGCGAACTCCATTTAGTCTCACCTACTTAAGGTTAATGCTCTTGCTAGAATAGTCCCCCGTCATATTTCCCCTCAAGGGGATCATTCCCATCAACATACAACCATACTATAACACATACCATCTAAAAACAGAAAAGGAAAACGTCTCCCTTGATTGTACAATTGCTCCAGCTAACACCCCATTTCTCTCCCTTTTCTAACAACTGTACCTCAGAAACACTGCTACACTTGCTGTCTCCACTGATTCCCCTCCCACCTGGTTCTCTCACTCTTTCCTCAAGTTGATTGTATTTGAAGTCTAACAGTTCACAAAATATAAATTGGGTGCTCAATGAGTTATCACATACCAACACCCATGTACCCACCACTCAGGTGAAGAAAAAGCACTGCCAGCACCTCAAAGTCCCCCTTGTTCCCATTACCTTTTCTTTCCTCCACAAAGGTGACCAATCACTACCCTAACACTAACATCACAGTTTGTGCCTGTTCTGACCTTCCCAGAAACAGCCATCATTCTACATATATATTTGTGTGTGACTTTCTGCTCTGTATAACAGTGAAATTCATCCATGTTGTGGAATGTATCTTTTGTTCATTTTCATTGCTATAAAGTATTCCATTGTATAAATATACCTGAAATATATTCTACTGTCGATAGGAAGACTGCTCTCAGTTTGGAGCCCATACAAACAGTACGGCTATAAACTTTTTTGCTCTTGTCTCCTGATGCATATGTGCATGTGTTCCTATTAGGAATACATAGGACTGGACCTGCTGGGTAATGAATTATGTTAATATTCATTTTAGTAAACACTGACATGTTTTTCAGTATCAGTGTACCGATTTATATTCCTATCAACAGTGTATGAAATGGTATTTCATTGTGATTTTGTGTTTTTTTTGATTACTGAGGTTGAGCATCTTGTCAATGTTTATTGATCCCTTAGCCAATCTCTTCTGTAAAGTTTAAATCTCTCGCCCATTTTTCTATTGGATTGTCCATCTTTTTCTCATTGATATACAGGTGGTCTTTATATATTCTAAATCTGAGCACTTTACTGGTTATGAGTATCATAAATGTCTTTTCTTCTGTGACTTGCCTTTTCAATATATTTTTCTTTTCAAATTTTTTTTTTTTTAATGAACAGTGTCTTTAATGTAGCCCCATTTATATGAAATTTTCACTTCATTTTTGGGCAATTTTGTGTTCTGTTGAAGAAATTTTCCCCTATCCCAAGATCTTTTTATAAAAATATTCTTTATATGGTCTTCTAGGAGCTTCATTGCTTTGCCTTCATATCTACATCTACAATACACATGAAACTGGTTTTTCTATATGGTATGAGATAAAGGTACAGCTTTAGTTTTTACCTTAATTATATCAGGTCGACCAGTACTTTACCTTTTTCTTTAGATCATCCTTTTCCTACTGATATGCAGTGCTATCTTTGTCCTAAACCAAGTGTTCCAATAGTATGGGACTGGTTATGAACTCCCTATTTTTGTTTCACTGATCTTGTTTGTTTATCCTGACAATATCATACTACCTTAATTACTATCGTTCTCTAAGAAATCTTGGTAACTTATTACAAATCCTCAACCTTATTCTTCTATAAGAATATCTGGTTCTTCTGGGTCTTTGCATTTCCAGTTACATTTGTGAATCAATTTGTCAAATTAAATGTATATGTATGTATACACACACACACACACATACACACACAAATGTGGCTGATTGGGAATGCACTACACACCTATAAATTAACTTGAAGAGAATCAACATTTGTATAATATTGAGCCGTCCACCCATGAACATGGGAAATTTCTTACTATTATTTTAATCCTCGCCTGAGGATATTTTTTCAAATATCTTCAGATAGAGGTGGGGGAAGGGGGAGACAGAGAGAGAAACATCAATGTGAGAGAGACACATCACTGGCTGCCTCTGGCATGACCTCAACCAGGAGCAGGGACAAACCCCAACTGAGGTACGTGCCCTTGACCAGAATTGAAACAGAGACTCTTTGGTCCATAGGCCAACGCTCTAACCTCTGAGCCAAACCAGCCAGGGCAAGAATTTCTCATTTATTTAGGTCTTTAATTTCTCTCAATGTTTCAGAATTGCCTTTAAAAGAGTTTCCTATATTTAATATTTTCTGGTTGCATTTTAAAGTGGTATTTAAAACATTTTTATTTTGTTTTTGGAAAACTGACACAAGAAATAGTTAATTTTTCTTATAAATATTTGCCAAACATTTATTGGCTCTAATCCTTTATCTGTAATTCTTATTGTTGTTTTTTTATCCTCACCTGAGGACATTTTTCCATTTTTTGTTCAGATAGAGTGGGAGGGAGGGAGAGAGAAACATCAAGAAACATCGACATGAAAGGGACACATCAAGTGGCCTCCACCTGCACGACCCAACCAGGGCCGGGGACAAACTGCAACCGAGGTACATGCCCTTAGTGGGAACCGAACCCAGGTCTCTCTGACTACAGGCCGATCCGGCCAGGGCACCTGTAATTCTTTTGGACTTTCATTATACATATCATGTCAACCTCAAATAATAAGTTTTAATTCTTCCTTTCCAATCCATGTAACCATTTTTCCCCTTGCCTGAATAGAAATGGTGCTAAGGAGCAGATGTGTCACAGTCCAAATCTCAAAGGGAAAGCTTTCAAAATTACTATTAAATATGAATATTTGTTGTGAGTCTTTTATCAGATTAAATAAGTTAATTACTCCGAGTTTAAGATTTGTATCATGACTGGTGACAAATTTTTATCAAATCATTTTTTATCTACTAAAATGATCACATAACTTATCTTTTTTTCCCTGTTAATGTGGTAAATTTAAATGGTAATTTTCAAATATGCTTTTTGCCTTGAAATCTACTTTACTCGATAGTAACATCCATTAGGTATATTTTTGTGCTCTTTTTTTCCTTGAATATTCCTAGATCCTTTTCTTTTTTTTTTTGATGTGTGCCTTTTATAACAGTATATAGTTGCCAATTTTCAATCCAATTTAGCATTCTTCGTCTTTTACTCAAGACCTTTAATTCATTTAATGTAATTATAGATATATTTTAGATTAAATCTACCATCAGAAATACTTGTCATTTTGCTTGTTTATTTTAATTTTAATTTCTATTTTCTCCACTTTATTAATATTTACTTTCTTCTGGTGGTTACTTTAAATATTACAAATCTCTGGACCACAGGCTGTCACTCTAACCGCTGAACCAAACTGCCAGGGCTAAATATTACAAATCTATCTTTGATTTATTAAAGTCTAATACTAACTGATATTCTTACTC